ATGTACTCAATTTACAAAATATCAAATATGATTTCTTTTCTTCTCATTGATTTTACTCTGGACTCAGTAAGGATGACTGCTTGTAATTGAGTTAAGTGGTGTTTAGCGTTACTTTGGATCTCTATTCTTGGTCATGATGAGTCGTGTATCTGGTAAAACGTGATCTGATCTGTGTGTAGATGATCGTTCGAATAATCAGTCTAATGGTATTATAAAGTCGACCACCCAGGCCAGTCTCATTGTCATATTATTGTATTAGTGTGATTATACCTCAGGGAGAGATATTGTAATTTATCCATTGTACCACAAATTGTGAAGAAATTATCGGGATTTGCAAAGCTTAAAAATGGAAATAAATATCCCGTCATGGGGAAGCGACAGTATCTAGATTAACAAGCGGTGAATTCACAAGAGGAACTTGGACTAAATGAAACTCAAAACAGTGGGAACCATTATATATGGAAATTATATTTGAAATAATCTCAGCGATTGAAATTTAAATAATTCCAACGTTTCGTTCAGCTAAGTTGTCTGGACTTCTGATCATTACCCTGAAGAAGTCCAGACAAGTTGGCTGGATGCGAAACGTTGGAATTATTTAAATTTCAATCGCTGAGATTATTTCAAATATAATTTTCATATATGATGTTTCTCTATACTCGGCGCTCAATTTCTGTCAAACTATTCGTTCTAATCTTGACGAATATTCGTATAAAATGGAAACCATGTGTTTGCTAAGTTAATTACCCAAAGGAGTTCATCGGTGAGTATGTTAACACAAAACAGACATGCCAAAAATGATACAAACGAGAAGTCTCTTTCATACTCCCTGGCCTCAAAGGGATAAAATCACTGACATAATTAGTCACAATAAATACAACACTGATAATAACTTATGATATGAAGGACTATTCACTTGGTACGGAACAATCGCTCTCTAAAAAGAAACAAGGGAGAGTCATTTCTTGTTATCAACACTCACCTCAACCGCATACGTCAGTCTACATGTATGTGCTAAAGATTTATTTTACAATGCTGTAGGGCTCATACAACAATATTTAGTCGGTATTGGCTGGATAGTCCATATCCGTGAGTCACTAAAAACGTGCCGTAATAATTATATCTTAGTGGTACTTGACCCAGCATACTATGATGATTAAGGCGAACTGTATCGTTTGGGACACTAGATCTCCTAGGTCCAAGCATTCTACGTAGGTCGATTAGTGATTAATGTAGGCGGACTTCCCATTTCAAGTGGCTCGAATCAGCAATTATGGTCAGTATTAGGTCTCATCGCCCCCCCTAGGCTTAGTTATGTGTCTATGGAGGGGACACGAAGCTTTCGGAATTTAATTAAATATCTACTGACAATTTCTGAGATATAAGAAATGGCTGACTTGGGTCTGAATGGTGTCAGATTCAACTAATGTATAGCTACCAAACTAGTTGTCGGCATCTGTGACGATCCTGCTTGTTCGGATGTTAGATAAACAGTGAATCACAACGAAAAGAAGGTTGCGATAGGTTTCTACGGATGGATCGTCCCATTGAAGGAAGGATGACATTTCCAGATGATAAATGTACTTTGTAAACTGATTACAGTTTACATCAACAGTCAACCTAATTACTATTAAGGACGTTTCAATTTTGAGACATTTCTATTTGGTCTTTTCAACGTTCTCTTTAGATCCAATGCACATGGTATACTGAAGTTGTTATGAAACTAATCAATCTGTGGCTAGATTTCTCTCACAGAAGACTTGGAGGCATAAAAAAAGCTATTATCACACGCATAAATAAATCCACTTCTCGTTGTGTTGGAAGTGTTCCTTCTAATTTTTAATGAAAATGTCGAACATTAGACTTCATTTCCATCTGGAAAGCAACGGAATGTCAATTGTTCCTTTATTTAGGTTCCACGGCTATTAAAACCCCCTTACTATTACCTCTGTACTTAAATTCCAAACATTTAGGATTAGGGATATATAGGTTAGCGCATCTTAAATTGTACAGCGGTGCAACAGATCCAGTTAGTGATAATTTACGTAACTTTCTTGAGGAATACGAGCTGTGTTACTAACTTAAACACAGACTATAATGTACATCCACCAAAAAGTGTTGCTGATGACGTTTGTTCGCATAGAGCTTTCGATTAGCGACCCGCTTCTCTCTATGAGTCTCATATGGAACATTAAGAATCCAGTGCATAGCCGTTAACCTATGATGGAGCAAGTAGCTCACCGTTATGTACAGAAGATTTTTTGTGGTAGGCTTTAATCTAGTATTTTAGCAACTACTATAGGCACGTCAGTCAAGTATGGCTACAAGAAATTGATAGTTACGTCTAAGGATACTGGAAACCCATTATTTAAACCGGATGATGTGCATAGCACTACACGGTAAACTTGGGCTAATTACTGATATAAGGGAAACGGAACAATTAGGTTTAGCATTTTCACTGACATTATTATTTTAAGAAACCGTTGTCTTCTAGTGAAATAGGTTTAGTCATATGTTCTATGAGTTTCTAACTTTTAAATATCATTTAGTATACTACTAAGCAGTTTGAGGTTATCAATGGACTCAGTAAGAAGTAGGCACTAATTACAGCAAGCAAGTGGCTTGTGGGAGAACTTTGTATCTATCCTGAAAACTTTGTGGACATGCACCTGAACAGTGCTCAACCAGGTGGGAATTGGTCAGACATCAGGCGACAGATTATGCACTACCGTGATGAGTTACATATACAGATATTCCATACAGACAGTTTGCAGACTGCGAAGGATTCGTCAGTTTTGTTCAGCAAAATTGGCCGGTTACCATGTCAATAGTTTGACGGATGAAAATACATTCCCCAAAAAACACAGAGGAGCCCACGAGGTAAGTACAGTAATCTTATTAATATCTCTCAAAGTATTATTGAAACGGAACCAGGGTTCCTGTAAAATTTCGTCGACATAGACATGGCTGAAATCTAGGCTGTATTCGTAAATGTTTTATTTATGCTCATAAATAAGTTCTACACAACTGGGAACATTGCCGTCAACTCATGTTGGCAGTGGGTTTGCGGCTGAGTAAGTCACATTTGTAATTTGCCTTAAATTCGCGAAACTAAATCTTGTTCTGCATCAAATGTGGTCAGCAATACCAGACTTTAGTGCCAAAGTTATGCAGCTCATGTTTCAGTCCAAGCCTGATGCACAGTGAAGCCCAACGAAGCTTGATACTTTTTTGTCCAGTTTGCAAGAGGAGCTGCGAACGTCGGATGAATGCTTTCGGCAAGAAGGTACGGATTTGTAAGTCTGCTAAATTCATTGAATTACTACATATTTCAGATGGCCATAGAAACGTGAATAATGGATGATAACTCTATGCGCTAGATTCTGTCACATGTCATATAGCCTGAAGCGGTCAACCACTTTACACTGCTTGGCATTTCGAAAGTGCAGGTCTAATAGAAGCATACTAAGTGAAAGTTCTTTTTGTTTTAGTCACTAGCATCCAGGATTTTATTGTTCACTAAAACAAACGACTGCAAAATACTGACATCGCAACGCAAAGTTATTCCCATATGTGAGGGGAGATAACGCAGTAGTAACTCCAAATGAGTTTTTGATTGTTGTTCTGTCGGTGCAGAGTTCAGTGTCGACGAGAATTGCAGTAAGTCTCAATTAATTTTGTCAGTTAGTTAAAAAGGAAGGCAGTTTAACACTACTGTAAAGGTTGATCTTCATTTAAAACCAGGTTTCATAGAACGCTTGTTACGATTATGAATAGTAATAAAAAAGTTCCAATTGAGCGTTGGTTCTTAAAACTGTACTTTAGCCATATTTTTTAAATAAACTTATCTAGCTATGCATTTGCTTTCTCAATTACGCATGCTAAGTTGGGTGTAGGTAGATAGAGCGTGCCTGATTTCATATGGTGTTGACATTTAGGACACTGATAAGAACAACGTATTACTAGCACCTGCTTACCGCAAATTTTTCTGATCTTCGTCGGTGACAGTAGGACTGCTTACGATGCATGATGAACGTCTAGTCGCCATTAATCTATATTAAACGACGGTCTCACTATCAGTAAATAAACTCCCTAAATCCGGTCGACTTCATCTAAATATTTATTTCGTGACTGAAGAATGAGGCAAGTATAGGAGACTTTCGAGTTAAGAGGAGCTAACCTACGCAGAAATAAGACGAACGGTCGTCCATTCAATGCTAAAGACGTAAGTACTCGAGGAATGTCCGACTCTCCAAACGACAGGCAAGGCATTCGCTTAGGCATACTCTTAATGAGAGGTAGTGACATCACACTGACCAGAGTTGCTGAAGGTGTAAGGCGGGAATCAAACACCCTAATCATCGCTCTAAAGGCTTGACATGAATATTTAGGTCCAGGCAAGGGACGGATCCGCGCGAAAACATGCGGGACAATAATACGCAAGAGGAAGATGCAAGATTACACTAGCCATGCACTCACCTCAAAAGCCGCGAATTTAGAAATTGCTATGGACAATCACTGCGCCAAAGCAATTACCACGCAAGGGAGCTGCCACGTGTAACTTTACAATGATCTCACGTTTAGAAAACATTGGAACAATTTGCTTGCTCAAATTATCCAGAAATCTGACTACCAGGCCGGTCTCTGTACCGTGTCGAAATACGGAGCTGAGACGACCTACCGGTAGGACGGACCCGCGCTGTATATCGCCACCCAACTGCTGGTAAATACAAACTACTTCAGCACACAGTGTCACTGCAAGTCTGGATGGCACTAACTACACCGGAAAATGCGTCAGCCTACGTGCAACCCACCAGGGTCGGCGTACGATAGAGTCCATAACTTACTGAATGTTACTAACGTCTAGTGGTCGCAAGATTTGTCACAAAACGGACTTAAGTGACGCGTCTGAACTGTTTATGAATTAAATCTAAAGTTGTAGTGCAGTACACAGCTCTAGGTAAAAAAATACGCTACGAACCCAGTAATAAATATTATTTGCTTAGCGATAATATATTTTACTAAACTTTGCATACAAGCGATCTTTACAATTTGAGCAGAATCATCTACAACATTTTAGAACTCATTGTCAACACCCTGCAGAAACAGGAAAAACCACGATGATTTGAGATTACACCTGCATATTTCTGGAGATCGATTCAACAAAGTACTACTTGAGACACCTTAAGATAGTGTCAAGAATGAAAGGCATCGGGTAGTTTACAAAGCGCTGGAATTTGTCTTAGATTATATTACTTGTCGGTCAACGGCATTACAAAACACCCAGTAACTAATGAGCTTGTGTAGCTCCCACTCCACCACCGGCCGCCATTGCTGCCATTAACGCATGGTAGGTGTGGTTGCCGGGGATATGGTGACCAGCTATATGTTGAGCTGCGGACAGTTGCTGTGTTTGTAGCAGATGAGGTTGAGGGATTGCTGGGTAATGTTGTAACATTTGTTGTGGTTGGCAATTTGGTTGAGACATAATATGAGTCTGCTGTAACTGCTGGGAGGCGGTTGAAGAGGAGTCGGATTGATTCGACTGATTTGCCACGCTGGCACCAAGTTGATGAGGATTCGGTTGGCCAACAATGGGTGATAAGCCAGAAGCAATATGATTAACTCCTGGTGTCGCTATCATTGCAGATGGCCCGGGATAAAACCCAGGGGAATTCTGTTGAGGAGCGAACATTAGATTGTGATGATATGGAGCTTGGAGATTTGCGTATGAAGGGATTTGGATGGAGTGGGATTGATCTTGAAAGTGTTGAGAGAATAATTGCTGAGATTGGGAGGTTTGTTGAGGTGTAGTTGTTTGATTAATCTGATCTGGTTGTCCAACAGGGATTTGTAGATGCGCAGGTTGCATTTGCATGATGGTATGAGTTGGGCATATTTGCTGACTAGAAGGTTGTGATACGTGAACACCTCCCATCATCAAACCAGAACTAACAGCAGTAGGCAAACCAGAAAGGAACTGCAGTCCCACTGGAGGATGACTGGAAACCAAGTAAGGGAACGTACCGTTTGGTTGAGGTAATTGGTATAGTGCTTGTGACTGGAAGGTGGGAATAGACATAGTTGACTGCTGGACGGGGTACGATGTACAGTGGGTTACTGAAGAAGGGGAATCATTGGAACGTTGGCGTGTGAAGTTGACGGAAGACGAAGGACAAACTGGAAGGCGACCTGTGGAGTTTTGACCTGTAATCACCTGAGGAGCTGTAATAATCTGCCCTAATGTAGCATTCTGTCCCAACTGATGCATCATATTACTACCATGAGTGACATAGCTTTGTTGATTAACAGACGGGGGTAATGCACTACCTCGGACATGCTGAGGGTTTGTGCCAGGTCCATTGGAACAAACTGGAGTAGGTAGTAGTTGTTGAATATGTGTCTGGTGACCATAGGAGTAAGGTGCATACATGTGCTGACCTGCAGCAATAAACGTAGCTTGTGTCGGTAATTGAGAGGCTTGAGAAATAACGTTTACCGTTGATACGTAGTGTGGAATAGGCATGTTTAGAGTAGGTAAACTGGGTTGAAGAGCAGGAGGCATAGTAGCAACAGAATGTGAACTATAAGACAAACCCATAGGCTGGAACTCAGGAGCGTTGGGATCGAGCGTTGACTTCTTAACACGCTCTTCAGTACTGCTTGATTTACTAACAGACGACACAGGTACATCAACAACATTGGTTTTTACAGGAGGTGCTGACGTGCACACGCAAGTAGGTGTAGACACTTTAGTAGGTTGGTCGTGACATAGTTTGACCTTATCTTTATCGGCTTGGGTGCTGGTTTTAGATATTCCATTAACTTGTGGAACGTCTGACTTTAGTGCATCCCCAACAGATATACTCACACGAACAGCTTCGGTGTGACTGGGCTTACTTGACTGAATACATACCTGAGACAGTTGACTGCCAAGGCAATTGACTTGAGTTTCTGCAGGAGCTAGATTTGTTCGGGAATTGCTTTTCGCATTTCGCATCGAATTCTGGACTGTCCCGTTGCGTCTAACAGCACTATACTTTTCCTCCTCATTTTCCATCCCAATATCTTCATTGTCAACTAAACTAATACATGAAGAATTTTCTGTGATGTCTTGCGCTAGTTTTGCACACCGCGCTTCGGTTTCAGAGAAATTTGGAGCAGACCTGTCAACGGGTGTCCTGGAAAATAAGATAGAACTGAAATCTAACTTACGTATACTCTCGGAGATCGTCATTATATGTGGAAACGACAGAAAACATTTTTTCATTCGTCTCAAACATTTCCATCGCAGAAAAGCTTCCCTGATCAAGTAAACAGTCTTTAACAACATCAGACGAGGCAAAGAACGGCACCAGCTCCTTGTCTTCCACAAAGTTGTTAGTTGAACAGTCTTTGGCGATCTCATTGTCCGTTTTTATATCATCTGAAAGTTCATAATTAAGTTTCTTACTCACCGACTAGGCAGTCCAACCTTTTAACGTTAGATATCTGAACCATTTTAATTTCTGTCCAGAGAATGGTTTTGTCAGACACGTTTTTACGATTACTTTTGTCATTTTTTTGTGCAACTTGAGCGTACGTTATACCGAGGTCAGCCTTGCAATATATTAAAATTGGCACTTACGGAAGGAGAAATAGCCTTTATCACACCGTGAACATGGTCGTCTTCAATAGTAATGATTTCCCCCACATTTCCCTACACATAAATTAAGTAAGTTATGCTTACAATAACATGGCGTCCAAGAATATACGTTAGTCTGGGGTTCGCGTATATACCCAAGTTGTCATTTGAGGCATTCTAAAGAAGCTAGGAACCTGTTCAATATCACCATACCTGAGTATGCGCCACACGCAAAGGATTAATGGGGGGCATTGACATACGCTGATTTCGAGCTCTACAACATTTTGCTGTCGGAAAAAAGGAACTTACCTCAAAGACTTCGTCTTCCCACGTTGTGACTGACCTGACATCTTACGTTGATGAGGAAAATGTGCGTACTGATTAGTATATTTGGGAAACGAACAAGAAAGCCGTTTAACGACAACGAATGGATAGATATCAAGTACGCCTCGATAAGAGCAAGGAGCTTCACTATCGAATGTTTACCGCTCTAAGGTAACTTAAACAAGTTGTTCAACGTCCAATAAACTCATCTTACAATTAGCTTTTGAGAGACTAGATCGAATATCGTTCGGTAGCTTTTTCGCACTACCAGTGAAACGTTACTTTAAGCTACAAATCGAAATATTTCTTGCCGACCATATGTAATAAAATCGAGAATAACTGGAGTTCAATTCTCAGATTTTCATTTTAAAACCAGAAGGTGAACTGATTGTGTTAATCCTTTCCTAGAAAGCTGTATTGTTGATCTCACAGTCCCTCTAATGTGTAAATGGAGATTGTAAGTGCCATTTCTCCTGGAAGTATGTTCCAAAGTTTGATTACTAGTTGAAAAACCTCTATAGTATTATTAGTAATTTGTTTATGCTTGATTTTTTAGATACCATATCGTTTTGTGTGAAATTCTCTGCTTTTACTTAAGAATGCTTTTTTTAATGACCAACAGCCAATTAGTGATCATCGATCGACTCTTTTTTATGAGCATTTCTTTCTAGTTCTTTTTCTATTCATCCATTTATCGTCTCCCTCCTGTCCTAGACAGAGTGTGTCCATTGGTTTTCTTTTCTCCCTTTCTTTTCGGGATTCTGAGTTAGGACCGGACTTGTGATGCGGTTTCATGAGTGTTGCGGTGTGCATCCTACCCACTTACAGAGTCTTTCCTAAATCTCCTCCTCACGTTCGATTTAATTTGTTCCCTTCAAAAGAACGTTGTTGTTGATGATATCGAACCAACGGATAGGAAGTATTTTGTACAGGCAATTGTGTATAACCACCTGTACATTGTTGATGATTGTTGTAGAAGTGGATTCTGAATAGTTTCTACAGGTGTTGTAATAATAATGACAACAGTAATAATGATAGTAACAGTAATAATGACAAGATGCGTGAACGAGTTTAGATTGAGCTAAGAAGATTAACATGATTCAAATTAGGTCATCAGATCATAAAAATGATTATCAAGCGATTACGCCAAAAGTTGATAAAGGTAAAAGGAATGGTTCAAATGGTTCAAATGGTTGTGGACGGAATAGAAGAAGCTTTCGCTTAACAGGCTTCCATGTCTAGTAGCAGGGGATCACCAAATCCTCCAGGCAGGAACCTAGGTATGTTAACAATGAAACAGGAAAAGAAATTGGTAACTCATAGTGTGATGCTGTCCTTGGTCCTTAAGAATAGGTCAAGTTGCCTCTTGAACGACTCCTGAGAAGTCGCTTGAACTAGCTCGGCCGGCAGCGAATTCCAGCTTTAAACAACTCTTAAGGAGTAGAAGTTGTGTCTACATTCCGTCTTGCTATGTTGTGTTTCCAGTTTCTGGGTGTTACCCCTTAGGTTATTATTCGAACTAAGCTTAAGTAGGTGTTTAAGAAGATGTCCAGAAGTGTTAAGAATATTATAAGCTATTATTAAATCACCTCTAAGATGCCTATATTCTAGTGGGTAAAGGTCTAGTGAATGGAGGCGTTCTTCGTAAGGTTTAGATTTGAGTCCTCGAACTGATTTCGTGGCTCGCCGTTGGATACGCTCCAAAGTGACCTTGTCCTTTTGGACTGAGGGGGGGGAGTACTATGTTTCCGTACTCTAAATGGGGACGGATGAAACTATTGAAGATTATATGGAAAGTTCTTCCGTCAAACTGGCCAAAAATGCGCCTCAGCGTTACCAGTGCAAGGTTTGCTCGGAAGGCATTCTTGTCACAGTTAGCGTAAGACTTTAAGTCATGGGGCATCAGGACTCCTAAATCTTTTTCGACTTGGGATACTACTAGAGAGGAGTTTCCTAAGTTGTAACTGTAGTTTGCGACATGTCGCAGATGGACTACTTTACACTTTGAAGTGTTAAAGGTAAGTCCGTTATCGTCTGCCCAACTTTGAAGTCGCGTCAGATCCTCCTGAAGTGCCTGTGTATCGTCTTGGTTGCGTATCTCTCTCCAAAGTTTCACGTCGTCGGCAAAAAGTAGTAAGTCTGACGTTACCTGTTGAGGAAGATCATTTATGTAGATCAAGAAGAGAAGAGGCCCTAGTACTGAGCCCTGGAGGACCCCACTAGGACATTCCATAGCCTGAGATAAAGTGAAGTTAACCCTAACCGTAAAGTGTCGATTTTTTAGGTATGAAGTAAGCCAATCGATTAGAGGTGGTTTGATACCCAATCGTTTGAGCTTGTTGATAAGACACAAGTGGTTAACCTTATCAAAAGCTTTTGAGAAATCAAGGTAAATGACATCAACCTTTCCCTTGCAATCGAGGATGCTTGTCCATCTGTCCACCGCAGTCAGCAGGTTGGTTATACAAGAGTAACCCTTCCTGAAACCATGCTGTTGGGGTGAGAAGAAATTTAAGGACAGTAGATAGTCATTTAAACCGTCGCATATCAGGGACTCCATGAGTTTTGAAGGTAATGACAGAAGAGCCACCGGCCGATAACTTGAAGGTTCATTGAGTCGACCACCTTTGAAAATTGGTGTGATGTGAGCCAACTTCCAATTTCCTGGTAGTTTTCCTCGGCTAAGCGAGTGTGAAAACATCACGCTAAGCGGCGTTGCCAGGATTGAGGCTGCTTCCCTCAGTATGGCAGGATGAACCATATCCGGGCCAGGAGCAGTATCAAGTCTTAAGTGCTGCAATTTCCGGAACACCAAGTCAGCGCTTAGGTTCACTTCGGAGAGTCCTGTGGAATTGCAGATGAAACTGTCGTCAATAAAGTTGATGTCAGCCGGTTGAAATGTTTGAGAGTAATGTGCCGCCAGAAGGTTAGCGGCGTCGCCATCGTTGTTGGTCGGGCCGTTAAGACCTAGCAGTTGAGAAACTCCTGTTTTGGCTTGACGAAGAGAGGCTGCATAACGGAATAGGCTTCTAGGATTAGAGGCGAATTTGTCCATAAGCTTTGTTTGGTACTGAAGCCTGTCTTCTCTTATAGCCTTCGTGCATATGTTCCTGATATATTTATATTGCCTATACGCTCCATCGTTATTAGTTCGTTAGTATTCCGCCCAACAGTGCCGTTTGCGGCTTAGCAGGCGAAGGGTACGGTTCTTGATTACTGTAGGTGGCTTGCAGCTTTTGGGAACCGTTTGAGGAACTGAATGGTCTGTAGCACATAAGAGCGTGTGCAGTAAGAAGTCCCAATGACCATCCACATCGAGTTGAGGGTGAACATCCCAAACCACCTGTTGTAGATAGTCATGTAGAGCTGGCACATTCAGCCGTTTAAAATTTCAACGCAAATTATTGGTGGGATACCTTAGCTTAGTTTTGATGACAAAACTGAAGGCTACGACGGCATGATCGCTCTTTCCCAGAGGAGCCAGGATTGAGAGGTTGTCGACTAGGAATTCTTCGTTTGTGAATACACAGTCTAAGCGCGATAGTGTCTGACTGTTTCTCCAACGAGTTGCCGACCTCACATTTTCGTATAAGCCCAAGTTATCGATGAGGATGAAGAACCCAGCTTCAGTTGAGTTGTCGCCTCTAGTGTACGTGTGTTCCGCGAAGTTGACTCTAGGGAGATTAAAGTCCCCTAGAATCAGGATGTGTGAAACCGAGACGATTAGAGCGGGATAATCCTTCAAGCATACGACTATCGTACTCGATGTCGGCAGTTGGCTTCCTGTAAATGACTCCGACTAGACACCTGGAAGTACTAGACAATCTTACAGAGCACCATATGGATTCCTCAAGATTGTTAAACTCGAGGTTGTGAATCTGGTGCACCTCCAAGCAAGAGCTTATGTATATGGCTACTCCGCCCCCAATTCCTGTTTTTCTGTCGTTGCGGAACAAAGACATCCCTGGTAATGCTAACTCTTGGTCCGAGAACTGAGAATAATAATAATAATAATAATAATAATATATTTCTGCATGTGCAGGTACACACCGTTTTTACAGGCATGATCTATAAATTACAATATTTGTTGGTTCGCAAAATGCTTCCCAACTTATTAAGTTTATAGTTGTTATAAAGTGAGATCGTAGAACGCTTGCTGTAAACTATGACCTTGAGAGGACGCGTACGTTAAGTTTGCTCCAAACGTCAGAAGTTTCATAGTTGTGCTCTCAGAGCAAGATTCTGAAGGAGAAAAAAAAAAGAAACAGAGGAGCAGCAAGGCACTTGGATATGAACGCCAAAGGTTGCTTAACATTGTGTAGTAGAACGGACAGAGGTATAATAAATTAGAATAAATTCATATTATGTCTTGTTAGAGTGAAGTGAAGTCAGAGGCTCCATATTAGAGAATGTACTAATAAAGAACAACGAGTAGTGATGTTTAACAAGTTGGAGTAAGCTCACATGAAGGAAGGGAAGTCAAGGTTGGTACAAGGGAAGCGGTTTATTAGAAGGGTGTATATATAGAGGGTGAAGTGTTAAGAATACTAGTGACTATATCTTTTATTGTCTTTTTTCTTTTCTTTTTTTGTCCATCCGATGTCAGCCACGCAATCCTAGTGTAAAAGTCTGAGTTAGCATGTTATAGGTTGTCTTAGTAGAATAGCTAATCCAGCATATTATTGGAAACATGAGTCTGAGTGGTGAGCGTAGGAAGACAATCTATATCTTAGATTGACTGTCTTATTCTCAATTATAAAGAGCCTGATACATACAAAATGTTCTGTCCCCACAAACACGGGTGGATTGAAGTTATCGCCCTCACCATCAATGCTTGCTGGTCAGTAACTCCACCCTCCCTCCTTTTGTGATGTTAGGCTCATTTAAGCTTATTTTTGTATATACGTCATACCTCACACAATTCTCTGTTTCACAACTTGTTGGAAAGCACTATTTCTATAAGTACCATTTTACAAGCTTATCAGGCAGTTACAAGCTGTGGACTGTGGGTAAAGCATCGATGCAGTGCCTCTGTTGACTATAGTATAAAGTATAGTTTGCCAAACAGTGTATAAGCGTTAAGAAGGGTATATTGTAGGATAGTTGTTTATTTAAGCAGGCGGAAAAAGTATAGAAGTATGAGTTGTGGATAAGGGAACGAGTAAAGAAATAA